CTGCATAGAGTGGAGGAATGGCAGGTCGATTCTAACACGTTGACTATATCAGATAAATAGGCAGCATTCCACCGTATAAATATGAGTGTATGTGGCATGGCTTAACTTCCCTCCTGTCACGTGCCTATTTTTTCCATGATTTGTTTTATTCTGGCTTATCCATCCTGTTTATTGGAAAAAATGGAAAATTGTACAATATGAGAATCAGTAAAACATTTTTTCAGGCCCAAGATAATGGGTTATACTAATGTTCGGGTGCTCATTTATACCTATAAAACAAGTGACATTACTTATTGCAACCAACAGATTCCAGCTCTATTTTTTGTAACTGCAATTTTTGGTAAATCTGAGCTAAAGAAGAACTCTGTTACAGATGAAGTTACTATTCGGGTGTTCATGAAGTCAGGGTACATAGAATCCTCCATCCACACTGTTTAGTGTGTATGGGGAAATTGATTGATTACTGTTTCTCAGCCCATTGGGCTGAATGAGAGAAACTTACACATGTATGGCTAGCCTTAGTAATCAAGAATGTGTGCGGAAAATAAGACCTGAGGCTGGCTAATGATCTTTTTTGAATGTCATAGCTAAATAGATTTCAACCACAAGACCTAATGTTATCAGAATACAATTGTGGGAATTTATCAATACTGGAGCCGACAAAATCTGGAGCAGCTGTGCATGGCAACCAATCAGCTTCTCTCTGTACCGCTGCTACAGATTTTGTCTGCTCCAGTTTTGATAAATTCCCTTCAGTGTTTTTATGATAGGGAAATACTCCAGTAGAGTAATGTACATAGGTAACTGTAGTAAGTAACTAACTTCTGGCTCCATTCCTCTGCTAAACCCTGCTGACTGTTGCCACTGTTCAGCAATTGGTGGATGTTGGAGGTTTCCCTATAGACGTCTGCAGATCTGGCAGAAATGTAGGTGTAGACCAGGAAGTTGTGACAGAAAAGTAGGTGTAGACCAGTAAGCTGTAGCAGGAAATTTAGGTGTAGACCAGGAAGTTGCGGCAGGAAATTTAGGTGTAGGCCAAGAAGTTGCAGCGGACACTTAGGTGTAGACAAGGAAGTTGCAGCGGGAATTTCGGTGTAAACCAGGGAGTTGTGTCAGAAATTTAGATGTAGACCAGGAAGTTAAAGAAGAAATTTAGGCGTAGGTGATGAAGTTATAAATACACAACTTTCCTTACACTGTTTGTTGTTTTTACAAATTCATCACTTGGGTGCAGGTTGATTCTTCTTTGTACTTTGTAGGCCCATGAAGCAGAAGAGGAGTACAGGATGAACCCAGGAAGTTGCATCAGAAACTTAGGTGTAGATGAGGAAGTTGCAGCAGAAATGTCGGTGTAAACCAGGGAGTTGTGTCAGAAATTTAGATGTAGACCAGGGAGTTGCGGTAGAAATTTAGATGCAGACCAGGAAGTTGCAGAAGAAATTTAGGTGTAGACCAGGAAGTTGCAGCAGAAATTTAGGTGTAGACAAGGAAGTTGTAGCAGACATTTAGGTGTAGACCAGGAAGTTGCGGCAGAAATTTAGTGCAAAACCATGAAGTTTACTGTGCCTTCATTGGATCTTTTGAGCAGTGGAACTAAGGCATACATACCACATTCTGCTCCTGCTTAGAGGAGATATTGATGGCTGAGGACAACATCTCTGATGTCCCTTTATTTTATTTTTTTTATAAATAGACTCATTTGTGCCCTGTATTAAAATAATTTCAATTCAGCTGTGTACTGTGTGATTTGTGACTCACACATTAAAGCGTAAATGTTTTAAATGAATACAAACCAACATAAATCATAAAAGATCAACAAAAATGCCCAACAAATTTAGAGAATTTCTGCTGATGAGTATATATTTCTTTTTTTTTTTTTAACTGCAAAGAATTCAAACCTTCTGACGGCTGTTTTGGTACTTTTTTTTTTTGTTCGTTTTACTTTAGTTTGTTTACTTTGCTGTGCATGTTGTTTATGGGTCTTTAGATTAGTCACCGCTTGCTGTTGCCTTGTTTTCTTCTCTTTGCTTGCTCTTTTTGGAGACACCTGTGGGGCGTAATGAGAAGCAGGGGGTATCATTGCTGTGTGGTTATGTGAGTACTTACAACGTGTACTATATTGTCTCTTTACGTGACTAATGCCCGTCTTTTACATCATCACTGAAACAATTGAGTTTGTTCTCATGCATGAGACGTCTTTTTTTTGTGTGATGCGTTTTATATTGTTATATGTGCACTGTTTGTTTATGTGTAAGGAAAGAAAACTAAAGTAGTTTAATGTACAGGTTGCTATTATGTAACATATTAAAGAATATTTTCACTATTAAACAACAGTCCCCTATTCTGGATCTTTGTCATAGGGGAAACACAACCTCAGAATTAACCTGCAGCATTACATGCTAATATATCTGGGTTTGCAGCTCAACCTCAAGGTGCCCATACACTGCTCGATTCTCGTACGAAAATCGTGGGAAATCCCGCGATCGTACGAGAATCGTGCAGTGTGAACGAAGACGTGCGACCGTTTCTACTGTACGGTCGCACGTCTTTTGTCTAAGGAGCATGCTAGAAAACCAGCCGAGAATCGTACGATTTTCGGCTGGTTTGAACTGTGCTCGGGAGACAAATGCCGAACGGGCCGGTGTGCGCACGCGCATTCACACTGCTCGATTCTCGTACGATCGCGGGATTTCCCGCGATTCTCGTACGAGAATCGAGCAGTGTATGGGCACCTTTACACTTATAAGGATTGTTCTTTAGACTTTATTGCTACACAGAGAGACCTCAAAAGAGTGCTGTGGCTATGCACACTTTCTGTTGTCAAGCCTGATAGCTATAAATGACTGTAGGCAGGTGTAGGCAGTTACAATAGCTGCCATAAAAATTTTAACATATTTAAAGGAGAACTATGGGGTCAGTGCTTTTCCCCATAGTTCTCCTAAGGGTAACGGCTTTTCCCCATAGTTGTCCTAAGGGTAACAAACTAGCATCCTCCCGTCACCCAAAGTTCAGTATACTGCGAGCTGCAGCTCGCTGTATACTGAGACGCCGCAGCCGGGACGGCTCCCGACATTACTGTCTGGATCCTCGCAGCTGTGTGTTTGACAGCTGGCTCTGCCTATTTAGAGGCAGAGCCAGCCTCCCCCCCGCCCCCCCGTCCGTTCCGCCAGTCAGCGCTGGAGGATCGGACAGGAAAGGGGGGGAATCCCTGCAGAGAGCTGTGAGTGATGGTCACGGCTCTCTGCAGGGACAGGATCGAGAAGTAAACGAGCGACGGTATATGTTCGCTCACTTCCCGATCTATTGAGCCGACCCGTGACAGTTTCATTGTCACAGGTCGGCTAGAACTATGAGGCTGAGTGATTTTCACTCGCCTCATAGTTCTCCATTAATTGGCTATCTCCACCACCTAACAGAATAGGAAAGGCAGAGGAAACAATTTAAGGGGTTGATTTATAACCCTTCTTGGCAGATTTCGTTTGCACAGCACTATTGCCATGAAATGGTGGTAAGAAGTAGGGATCTTCGGATACCAGTTCAGATACCAGTGCCGATACTTGGAATTTTAATGAGAACTACCAGGGTTGCAGCTGGGACCTGGCTCTGGCGCTCCATCACTCTCCTGAAATCATTAGTCGATATTGTTTTAGAAAAACTGTCACATGACACTAAACAAACATGTATCAGTTCTTGTATCTGTGAGGACTTGGACAAGTATCAGTACTTGTACTTGCAATAATGGTATCGGTGCATCCCTTTATTTATATTTATAAAATCAAAATCATACATTGAAACAGAGATGTACAAATCCCAGCAGCTCCGTGTGCTCCTTACAAATGACAGCTGCCTCCTAACTTTTTTGTATTTTTCTCTAGTCTAGTCTTGGAGCTAGAAAAGTGTCTGTACTTGTACCGAGTATGGTACTTGGTATCGGTGCATCCCTAGTAGGAATCATAGGAATTTCCTATGCTCCTCAGCGCCTACTGTTGATGGTAATGTCGTGCGAGCAATGGATTATAAATCAGTCCTTAAGTGTGTTTTATGTTGCTCATCAGGCTCACAAAGTAGAATTTTTTAAAAATTTAGAAAAAGTCATGTTCCCTAAAGACAACTCGTTAAAGGAGAACTATGGGGTCAGTGTTTTTCCCCATAGTTCTCCTTAGGGTAATGGGAGGACACAAACTAGCGTTACCCTAAGCTCAGTATACCGCGAGCTACAGCTAAGTCTAGACGACGGGATCCGCCCAGCTGCATGAGTGACAGCTGGCTCTGCCTATCTAGAGGCAGAGCCAGCTGTACCCGCCCCCTCCCCCGTCCGTTCCGCCAGTCAGCGCTGGCAGATCGGAGCGGGGAGAGGGGAATACAGCCCCTCCCCCTGTCACGGCAGGGAGCCTTGACAGGATCGAGAGGTGAGCGAACGCCGGTATGTGTTCGCTCACCTCCCGATCTACTGAGCCGACCTGTGACAGTCTCATTGTCACAAGTCGGCTAGAACTATGAGGTGAGTGAAAAGAACTCACCTCATAGTTCTCCTTTAAGATCAGAACAGTATAAAAAGGATCATGTCATGCAATGGTACAAAGTCAACCAGTAAAATAGTAGCCTGAGTAAAAGCTGCATTACAGCACATAGTTATTTTTTTATGTTTTGGCAGCTGCAAATGTCTGTTCTGCTGCCCGGTGTATAAAATACCACAACTAGAGCTATTACACTAAACTATTGCACTAAATCCCTTGAAGTACAGTGAAAAGGTACAGTGCCAGTAAATGAGCTGTTCACACTTCAGACATATAAATAGGTGATTAGAGAAGGAGATTGTAATTTAGTCCATGTACATGGTATTTGGGCTAAGCAGCTCCCCTTTGGTAAATTTGTGTTAATAATGATTAATTGGCCCAGGCGATAAAGTTATAAATACACAACTTTCCTTACACTGTTTATTTGTTATATTTACAAATTCATCACTTGGGCGCGGGTTGATTCTTCTTTGTACTTTGTAGGCCCATGAAGCAGAAGAGGAGGCCAGGATGAACCCAGAGCTCGGTGACAGGGTCAAGCAGCTGGACAAAGAAGTGTCTTACTACAGGGAGGAGTGCAGCAAAGCACAGGCTGAGGTGGACAGGCTGCTGCAGATACTGAAGGAGGTGGAAAATGAGAAGAATGATAAAGACAAGCAAATAGCTGAGCTGGAAAGGTAATGTGTTCTTATGGAGTCTATGGATTCCTCTATCACCGCTTATGTTCATCTCCCACTGTTTCCTTTGTATTCCCTTAGGATACCCAATTGCAGCCTGTATCTGATTGGCTGCCAGCCACGTTCATCTGAGAATTTTCCAAATGGCTCCTTCGGCTGATTGAGGGATGAGGGGTGGAAGGGTGCGGATAGCGGCACCAATGCAGTAAATTTCTTCCGGTTCATCAAGAACCGGTCGAAATTTTTTAAGAGTGTTTACCTGGCTTTATACTTACCCGAAACTCAGAGCTGGCTGGCTCTTAGACCGGTCCTTCCAGGCTTTCTCCTCCTCTTCTGGGGTGGTATTCACTCGGTGTCCTCATGCCCTATACATGTATAGGACAAAATGACTCACAGTAAAAGCAGAGGGGGAGAGAGAGGCTGGAAGGACCTGTCTAAGAGCCAGCTTGCTCTCAAGACACGGGTGAGTGTAACTTTGTTATCTTTACACCAAGACCAAAAGAAGCACTTAACAGTGGGGTAGCTCCAGCACAATGGTTAAGAAAATGTTTGCCCGGAGTTCTTCAAGTCTATGAATAACTTTATAGCACAATAACATTGGCCATACACCTATGTTTCTACACTAACCTGCAGACTTCATTGACTGGTTGGAGAGAGAGGCTTTTATTTTGTTTCAAGTATTCAATGTCTGCATTGTCCGTCCCCCCCTCCCCAAAGATAATACTTCTGCTCAGTTTTCTCGTGGCAGTATGGAAATTCCCTTAGCGGTGAAAAGTTCAGGTCAATGGGAAGTAGAGTGCTAATTCTGTCCCAGTAGGTATAACGGGTGTGATTTTAGCACTTTAGGATATGATGTGCGAGCAGAGTAAACTTGGCTAACCCCTGCTTTCTAATCTCAACACGTTGTTCTTAACTTCAACAAATAGTGTGATGCATTTTGATAGCACCTAAGCTTATGTGTGATACAGTATCACTGCTTACAAGGGACTATTAAAACCGAAAACATTTTTACATCCATCTTGTGTTTTGCGAGGAAAATGTGGTTTCATTTTTCAAATGTAATATTTCTTTACATTTACAGATGTATTGTGAAATTTTGTAGCCAAAACTGTTTCAACAGTTATCATTTTCTTGTCTATGCTTTTGTTTTGTGTGTTGATGGGACAGCACTGCTATAATTTTGTTCTGTTACAAATGGGTTAGTCTTCCCAAAACTGATGTCTTGAATTTTGAGCGGAGGGAGGTTTGAGCAGGTTGAATTACTCACTGGCTCTTTACATTTCTCAGGGATCTTAGTATGCAGATTGGAAGTGCACCTAAAATTATTTTTTAAACCAAATAAAAAAAAAAATGTCAGGCCAAAACTAGGGATGCACCGATACCACTTTTTTGGGTCTGAGTACGAGTACCGATACTTTTTTTTAGGTACTCGCTGATACCAATTACCGATACTTTTTCTTAAAGGGGCAGATCACATTTTTTCCAAAGCAATACAAAATAATGATTTTAGGTCAGTTTCTTAATATTATGAAGAACTGTAACTCAAAAGACAACATGACTGTCAAAAAATAAGTTTACTTTGCTTAAATTGTCACAAAGTTGTACTCAACGAAAGTTAGTAAAATCTCAACGTGCCATTTGAAAAAAGGCCACAAGATGGCGTATGGATAGGATGGAAGCAGATGGAATTGTGTAGAAAAGTGAAAAAACCTTAATTTAGCTTAAGACCTCATTCACACAACTAACAGCCGGCCCATGTTATATTAATACAGCATGGTCAAAGATAAATGAATCTTTATTTTATATAATATTGATTAAGCAATGGAAAAAACAATTATTTTATATTTATTCATGCTGTATTCACTCAGCTATGATTCAGCTGTTATAATGAACAGGCATCCTCTATACTGAGTGTTCCTGTTCATTCATAACCTGTAGAAATCGTATATTTACTATATCCACAATCATGAATGAACAGGAAGTAATGTAGAGCACTTCCTGTTCATTCGTAATTGGGGACACAGTCAACATACCCGGTCCTCAATTATTTACAAACAGTCAGCGATCACTGACCCGCTGTCACAGGAGGCTAACGGGAGGAGAGCTTGGTCTCCTATGAAAGCTGACTCCTCCCCCGCACCGCTGGCCCGGCCTCCTATGACAGCTGTCTCTGCCCCCACAACGCTCTTCTGATCTGTCACAGCCGAGCGGGGCAATGCGTGAGGAGAGCCCGGCCTATTGTGACACGCCGGCCACTCACAGCACTCTCCTCCCCGCCCCACTCGGCCTTCTGGCAATTTCTTTCCTCCCTGCTGGACGCTGCACTGTGTTAGAGGGGACACAGAGCAGCTCCCACCGGGGAGGAGAGAAACTAGGCATGCACCGCAATTTCGGCCGAAAGATGGTTCTTTTGGTATTTTGCCAAAAGTGCCATTTTAAGCCGATATGTTTCGGCGGCCGAAATTTCGGCACATCTCTAATACTGATACCTGCACTGTGTTCTCAGCTCCACCTACCTACTACAGCCTTGATGCCTGGGTTTCCCACATGCAGCTGGATATTTGCTTTATGTGAGATCACAGAAGGTATTTCTTCAGCTGCAACTAAAGGAGTGGGAACTTGGGTGAGGGGAGTAAAATTCGATTTTTCAAGGAAAGGATTTACTGCTGGATTTTCAGAGTGGATTATTCAGACTTTCAGAATCCACCCATAAAATATTAGGTTTAAGAGGACTAACCCTTTAATGTTAACCCGAACTTACTTCCTAGATATTGAACTGTAAGCTGACATGGAATTCAGGCAACTAAAGTTGTATGCTTGTGTTTTCGCATACATTTCAGATTATAATGAACCCTAGGCTTCTCTGTTATGTAGGGCCCCTTTCAGATGGACGGTCTGATCAGGCGGATTTCATAGGAAGCCCAATATTAGTCTATAGGCAGCCGGATCTAAATGAATGTTTGTCTGTTTACATCAGATTACCCCCGACTCCCTCCAGAGTTCCGTTTTGGCGAACCTGATGGTGACGGATCCGGGTAATCTGATGTAAATGGACACATATAGGTTTACATCCAACTCCCCATAGACCAACATGGGTCCAGTATGTTCAGTTTTTTTCCTACATCTCAAGATGGAGTAAAAAACTGGACGGATAGGGTCGTCACAACGGTGACATGCATTCTGTGCTGATCGGAACTAACAGACACCTGTGTGAAAGGGGCCTACAGAGTTTCTTTGGTTCCTAATGTCATGCTTGGTTCACTTTTGATTCATCACTGTGATGGGCGGCTTTAGTGACCAGTTGTGAATTAAGGAAGGGGACGGAGCCAAGCTCAGTGTCAGAAACTTAAATTAGCTTTGCAACATTAGAGAAATTTGGGGCTTTTGGAGGCCTCTGAAAGATGTATAAGCATTTATCAGGAACATTTAGGTCCCTGCATTTTATTGTGCACCTGCAGTGTTGTAGCAAATTAAAACTAGTATTTGCCCCTGAATAGGGACCTTTTTTTTTTTGCTGTGGGCGCCCCATTGAAGATCTCCCCTCACTTCCTACCATAGTAACAACATTATCACATGGACAGGAAGTGAAGAGAAATCCCTTCAACAGAACAAAATTCATCCCTACTCTACCTTAAACTAAAAAAAAGCCAAAGATTCAACAAAAGGGACTTTTTATACTTCTGCTTTAAAGCAGAACCTTGTTTCGGACCTCTTTGTATAGATACAAGGGTTTGTGCAGTAAGAACCTGTTTATAGAATGTTTCTTTCACATGCTATTAAATACCAGCAGGTAAATGTATCTGTCTAATATATTCCTGTTTATCTTTCTATTTTTTGGGATTTTGCAGTTATGGGTGAGTAAACCGATTGCTATCATCTTCTGGTAACTGCTCGCATGGAAAATAGCTATGGAAATCTTGAATGCAAAAAAAGCATGACTCCATTTCTGTTTTCATCTAACAACAACAGTAATACAGATTACTTTGTGCATTTTTAAAAAAATCTTGGAACTAGCAACACAATTTTTATTATCATCATAACTCCCAGTATTTAAAATGATAAAAACTGGCCCTTTTAAGCCTTGTGTGTGATCATTTCACTCCAGATCAGCCAACATACGGAGACCACACTCACTTTTGCTAGTCCTGCTCTTTCTGGGAGACAAAAAATAGCGCTGTATTGCCAAAATAAGGCATTATTCTTTCACACCCGTTTAAAGCCTTGTATGTGTTAGTAACTATATGTGGGACACTTATATCTCACTGCATTCCTCATTTGTAATTGGCCCTGTAGAGGAAAATTTTGGGGAAGAAAAACCCACAAAAAAACTTAGCTTTAGTACACACAACAGATCAGATTTTTCTTTTTGTTCCCTAATCTGCCTGTAATACGTGAAAGAAGAATTGAGTATGTTGCCATAGTCAACGCAGACAATTCATAACATTTTCTAAGATTACCATACAATATACCTACATACATTGCACTGGTAATACATTGACGCCATTATAAATCTCAGCCTCATCCATGTTAATAACTGAAATTTAAGTTTGCCTCCCTTGATGTATTCACCTTTTATTACATTTGTGATCTCAGAGCACAAAGGAATTCTATCATTACTCATTTCTATTAGCCAAATGCTATGCTGGTTCTGTACAATGCTGGAATGTGAGGCATTTTGCAGCTTGTGATTCAGGGAATGCTTCTTTAAGTTTCCTTTTTTTGAAGATGCATGTGGAGTGAAGCATACAGTTGAGCCTGAGCCTGGATGAGGGCCTGGACATTGATTCCTATATGGTAGGGTAAAAAAGGCATGAGCATTTGCTTGCACACTTTGATAAATAAGGGCTTACATGTTTATTTGACACATTCTTAGGGTATGTGGACACAGACAGCTTTCATTCATATTTAGTCCTTCTTTTGTGTTTAAAATCAGGGAGGAAACTAGTGGGATATAAAGCAGTGACAAATCTGCAACCACTTTATATCCCGTTCCTTTCTAT